GTGTGTGTGTGTGTGTGTGTGTATTTATTTATATATATATATATGTGTGTATGTGTTTGTGTAAATGTATGTGTATATATGACACCTATTGAACGGTTCTATTTTTCCTGGCTGTGAAACTTAGTTTTAACAGAAAGGTTTCCTGAACAGTGGTTTGTGAGTGCGTTTAAAAGAACCATCTCAATTTAAAGGTTCGTTTCCTGAGGAATGTGCTCATAAACTGCGCATTATTCCTGCGGATTGTCCGCAGATTAGAGGCAATTTCCATGGCATGCCAATCTTCCAATCGTCGCATTTTATTTGAACTAAAGAAGCAAAACAAGGAAAGAAGGAAATTGTCAGCTTGTATTTATCTTTCTGAGAGGAGGGGTAAGCCGGAACTCGAGAATGGTTGACTAAAAAGTACCAGAGAGAGGTAGTCACCACCCCGGCTCCTCTTAGAGGTTCTTTATGCAGGAAGAGGTCTAAACAAAAGTCTGTGGCGCCCTCTAGCGCCGGTCTGGTCACGGTAAATCCGCCAGTGGCCTCACTCTGTCCCCACCTTCATACGGAAGAGTTAAGAAATAGAAATGTCTGGAAATTGCCGGTTCTTTCCGTGTTGGGCATAAAAAGAGCCACGAGGTCTGAATGTGAATTCCCAAAAGCTGTTTATGGTGTGTCTTTCTTTGGTCTTAAAGTGTGCCCAACATCCCAACCCCCCCCTGAGTGAGCCTATCTGAACGCAGTGGGTCAGAAAAGGCTTGTGTTTGGCCCAGTTAGCCCGCGTTACGCGGCTCCAGCCGTCTGTGAGCGGAAACACGCGCGGTCAGGTCGGGTCTTTCCACCGGGAAACACTGTCCGCCCTAAACCCGTCTGAGTGAGGACAAAGGCCTGGCAGGTGCCTCAAAAGGACGAGGCAGCGCGCATGCGTGGGGGGGTGAATTTACCCCAGAGGACGGCACGTTTGTCCCGTTAATCCTCTGTGGATGGCCCCAGCTCAACCCGTTCCGGCCAAATAAACAACAACTTTTACCCGATTGTTTGAGTAGCAAAAGCTGAATTTTGAATTAATTTGGACAAACAGCCGTTTTCAAATGGACACTGATGACGGTTAATCCCCGAATTCTAGACCTAATAATAATAATAATAATAATGATAATAATAATAATAATAGAATATGGCCGAATTATAATTTAATTATTATGTCTGATTGTTTATTTAATTAATCTAATGTAACTTGTTTATGTATTTGTGTATTTTAATAGTAATAAGAAGTAGAATACTCATGTGAACGCAGATTTAACACATCAAAAACAAAGGGGTCCTTCACGGGACGTTGCCTGTTAATTGGTGGCTTTTGCTGACCGGAATCCATTGATGTATTAGCCTAAACCAGCAGAAAAAAGAAAAAAACAAGACGGGCAGTTTCTAGTTTGCTATTAGCTCGCCCAGGAAAGGTCAGTCGGTGCTCGCTTCCGCGCACACGCACCATCCTGTTAATGTTTAGCGCGCGGGCCTCCGCAGCACGGCCCGCTCCCGTCACAGGCTCTGCTTTTCCTCTTCTGCTCACTCAGCCCTGGCCAGACCAGGACTCAGTCCGCACACGCTCAAAGCCTTCCCTTTGGATTCCTCTCAGCCACGGTGGAAGGAAACATTTAGGCTGCCATGGTATTTCCAGTATTTCCAATTCTATTGTTATTGTTAA